AGAATCAACAGTTGTGGATGCCACCAATCGGATCATTTGATCTTGAATCCCAGGTTGAACTTTCAACGAACACGTTTCAAAGCGACCACTTCTTCAATGCATCGCTTCAAAACTTGATCAACACTTGGCCAAAGCCTCACTTTGTGTTTGAAACGATTTTATTGCATTCGATTGTTTACGTTGTTCTTTGCGCAATTTCACTGGCCTCTCGTGCTTCGGCCTATTTGTGACGGCTCATCTGTTCATTCATTCGCTTCATTAGTTTTATCTGAAAATAAATGAAATATGAACACTCTCAAGCTATGAATAAAAATCGATATATACTAACCTTTGCCGATTTCAATTCACTCAATTCCGCTTAAAGTGTACGCAACTGTATCTCTTGTGCTTGAATTTCACGATGTTGTCGAGCATGTTCGCGTTGTGCCATTTGCAATTTCTTCAGTTACTTTTGCATATCATTGATTTTTCGCTCATATTCATCGCGTACCTTTTTTGTTTTATCATTAGTTGTCGTTGAATTGGTAGTACCACCAACCGATGCGGATTTATTTGCCAACATTCGATCTCGTTCACGTTGTGTGTTGATTATCTTTGAATTGAGCACATTCAATTTTTCTTCTTAGATTTGACGCATAGGTTTTTATGCGCTGTGTTCACCGTTGTTCACTGTGAATTCTTCAATTGTTGATACATTTGTTCGGATTCAATGAGTTTGGCTCTGAGTTTTTCAATTTCTTTGATGTATCGCCCGACCAACTCGGTCACGGATTTATCATTGGCAAAAAAAATCACGATTAAATTCAAAACACATGCAAACAAATTCATTTCACACTTACACGTCGACGACGTCCATTCACTAGATTCTTTTTCAGCGATCAAATCGACATTATTCTCGGTTACATTATTTATCGTTCCTTGCATGGCTTCAATTCTCTGCTAATCACTCGATGAAACTCTTCGTTGAATCTGTCAGTTTATCTGTGGAGAGATTTTATGTTTTTGACAAAGAGAAAAAACCATCATACAAAAGTCTCAACTCTACACGAAGTTCACGAAATAGTCGCAAAATGAATTGCGTTTGTTAAAAAAAATGTTTGAAAACAATTTACCCCATTTTTTGTATTATTTTAAAAGACATAAATAATTTAAAATGACAAATAAAACTCAATTTAGAATTAAAACATAAAAAAATTATATGAATTGTGTGAAACGTATTATGTACGTATTGGAGAATCTCCAAGATCTCCAACGTCCATAGCGTACAAGTGAGTACAGTGAAATGTCAAAATTGTTTGTTGTATGTAGCGGCTATGTTTCACATCACATTCTATCTCATTCTTTAGTATAGACGCACATCGAACTAACTTTCAGAAGAAAATATACAATAGAGTTACAGTCAACGAGAGAAAAAAACAACATAACCACAAACATTAGAGCGCATTCTGCGATTTCATTAAGTGTCATTAATTTTGTTGAAAACGTAGTACTATTTAGAAGAAAATTCGACCATCAATACATTTTCAAGACAAAGTAAGTTTAATCACAATATTTGTATTTGCTGGATGAGTGTTCCGAGTGTTCATTATTTATTATTTCAGTCTTTATCGAAATGGTTAAATGTGACATTTGCAAGCTAGATGTTACGGGAAACATTTATAAACACAAACGAAATAAGCATAAATGGGACAGAGGCGGAACGAAATTGATAAAGCCAGAGGATAAAATGAAAATCGAAACAATTGAAAATGAAGTAACATTCAACACATATAGCATTTTATATTTAAAGCGTCTCGCAAATTTTGCGCAAACTTTAAATTTGGTAACTACGATTTATGGCCCTGATGCACCACAGCCAGAGCTCATTATCACAAGAGTAAAGTCGCAGAACGAAACAAATGTGCCCCAATTAGTAGACCAACTCTACTCGGAAATCTCGGCTCGTGCGGATAATACAGATAATGGCGCAGTTTATGCGAATGCTTTGCTCAATAAAAACATCTTTGTTCCACCTACAACCAAAGGCGATGAAAAATACCGTGAAATGCGATCCAATCTACCAATATTTCAGCGACGACGTGAAATAATTAATTTGATACATCAAAATCAGGTCGTGGTGATATCGAGCGAAACGGGTAAGTAGGGAAAAAAATTAGTTTAATATTTTTTCAAACGTGCATATATTTTTTGTTTAGGGTCAGGCAAAACAACACAAATTCCACAATATATTTTGGAAGATTGTGAGCAACGTCGTGAAAAATGTAAAATTATTTGCACAGAGCCACGACGTTTGGCTGCTACGTCAATAGCAACACGGATCGCTAAAGAGCGTGGCGATATCATCGGCCGTTCTGTGGGTTATCAAATTCGTTTGGACAGCCGCATAGGTTTTAACACGAATCTAATTTTCACTACAAGGTATTGTATGAAATAGAGATAGAGAAAGAGAGAGAATTATAGTCAAATTAATACATTCGCTTTTGATTTTAGCGGATTTTTATTGGGTATTTTGGCCGGATGCGAAGAAACGGGTGTGTTTAAAAATACTACACATTTGATTTTGGACGAGGTACATGAACGGGAAATGGTAACAGATTTCTTGTTGATTGTAATTCGGGAAGCAATGCAAGCAAATCCAAATTTGAAAGTCGTTTTAATGTCGGCCACACTGAACAGCGAAAAATTTAGTGAATATTTTAATGGTTGTGCGATTATCGATGTGCCAGGACGTATCTTTGACGTGCAAATCATTCATCTAAACGAAGTTCTATTCAAAACTGGATATAAAACAAGCGAAATGATCAATTATATGGAAAAGAATCCAGTATCGCAGATTTTGCGTGTAGAAGACGGTAAATATTTCTGACAATGAATGACAATGACATATCACTCAAAGTTCATTTATTTTTTGATTTATTTTCATTCCATAGCGGACATGCTGAATATATACCGCAATATGTGCGACCGTCAACTTGATTCTTTTCTTATTCGGCAAGATGATGAATCTATTGAAGAGATTTTTTCTCTGATTGAGAATGAATATATGCCGGTTAATTACGTTCACCGTACAAAACAACGTACCGCATTGGGAATTGCAGCGGAAAATGGTTTACTGGGTGTGCTGACAAAGTTACTAGCCTTTGGTGAAAGCCCAATATTCAGTGATCCATATGGGAAAAGTGCATTTGACTATGCAAAACAACATGGCCAAGAAGTGTGCTGCGAGCTTTTTGCGTGTTATCAACGTGTGGCCACAACTACAACATGGAAAAATTACACAGAAATCGCGAAGGCGTACCGAGAGACACAAGGCACTCGAAATGTTATTGATCACGATTTAGTTTTCCATGTCATTAATCATATCCATGAGAACACTCCAAAAGATGGTGCTATCCTCGTCTTTGTGCCTGGATATGACGATATTTGTGAACAAAAAGAAAAGATAGAGAGTGAACATGGATTACAAGATTTGGCGTATAAGCTTTTTGTGTTACATAGCCAAGTAAATGATGATAAGAACGATGAGCAAGAGCGTATTTTTGATAAAATGGAAAATGGCATTCGCAAGATAATTCTATCCACCAACATCGCTGAATCAGCGCTCACAATTGATGATGTCATTCACGTTATCGACACTGGCAAGGCGAAGCTATTAAATCATGACTCTGAGACTAGATCTTCCCGTTTGGAATTAAAGCCAATTTCACAAGCATGCGCCAAGCAGCGCTCGGGAAGAGCTGGGCGCATTCGAAATGGGTATTGTTATCGTTTATATTCATTGGAACAATACGAGATGATGCAAAAATATAAGCTGCCTGAAATAGTACGAGTTCCTCTAACGCAACTTTGCCTCCATGCGAAAATATTAGCCGCTGCCGATACATCAATTGGCACATTCCTATCGAAAGCACTTGAACCACCGCCACCAGAAAATGTACGTCAAAGCGTCGAATTGTTAAAAGAAATCAATGCGCTAGATGCCAGCGAAAGTATCACGGATTTGGGTATACATTTGGCCCGTATGCCAATAGATTGCCAAATAGCCAAAATGGTTTTATACGCAATTGTTTTGCGATGCTTGGATCCAATTGTGATCATTGCCAGTGCATTATCGGTGAGAGATTTATTCCTTCTCCCACTTGATAATGCACGTGAAGCGATAGAAAAAATCAATGAAACAAAAAATCGATTCACTGGAGATGAACGGAGCGATCATAAAATGTTTTTGAATATCATTGAAAATTGGTCAAAACTTTTGCGAGAGCATCAACGTCAATTTTGTTGCGAGAATCTCATCTCACAAGGTAATATGTTGAAGGCTGAGGGCATTCGACGTTTGATCTTCAATCAATTATTCAAATCCGGCTTGATTTCGCAAACAATGCGTCAAATAAATGAAAATTCCAGCAATTGGTTGTTCAAGCGTGTATTATGGCCGGCATGTACCCCAATCACATCAGAAAGTGACCTGAATAACGCTGAATTAGTGGTTTTTGAACAAAAAATTCAACGCAGGAACGGTCACTTTATTCTCAAAAATATTTGTGTTTTGCTGCGAGAAACTAAAGCTCTGTTGCCAAAATTGGAAGAAATTCTATTCCAATTTGCTCGCAATTGATGCAAAATAACACAAAAAATTTCTACGTATTTACTAAGATATAAAACATATTGTCTTTCCGGTCTTTCTACCTTATTTTATTAATCGCACATTTTTATTGTGTCATATTGCCAACAAAAAAGTCATTCGGACAAATTTGTGCTTAAAAACATTTCATAAAACCAATTTTTTGTTGCAAAAATTAAATACAATATAGTTGCATTTTCTAACGCAATTAATGCGATAAAAAATAGATGAAAAAGCTGAAAAATAGAACATTGGCCGCAAAACTTTCTGTTAAAACACATATTGCCTTAGAATAAACGCAATTATTGCGATGAGAAAAAAAAAAACAAATAACAATTTATATGCAATAGACATAAATTCTAATTTTAAACAAAATAAAAATTGAACTAAAATTACATTGAAACACAGGGATAAACACAGTCTGACAAAAATTGATATATATTTAACTAATAAAAAATAGACTATTGAAACAAAAAAACGACTATTGCATTTAATATCGTTGCTATATTGAAAAAAAAAAAACAAAAAACGAAACAAAAATATCTGTAATAATTTTCTTTCATTCACTCAAAATATTAATTTTATGTTTTTTTCTAAATGAAATAGGACTGATTCTTTGTTTTGATTGCAGAGGACACCGGAACGAGTTGAATGAATGGCTAAAATGTCATGATTTTTTTTATGTAAGTACAATACGTTACTATAATTTCGCTTTTAACCGTTCTTTTTCTTTTGAGTTTACTGTTTAGTTAAAAAGGTGTACCCATCGACCACCTATATGATAGTGATAGTGGTGAGGATTGGAGAAGGATGTAAGACTCAGTCCAGATGTGATAGCTAGCTAAGTAGCTACAATTGAAGTTGTAAGTAGTCAATTGATTTTTCTTTCTCTAAGATAACAAAAAAAACGTGTGTACTATATATTTTTACTATTGAAGATTCGGTTGATCCATGGTATGGTCTATTTGGGTCATCCACTTCAAATGAATGTACGATTGAAACCAGTCAAATCAAAGAATCAATTCCTGACTCTTTCACTGTTTCTGATGGAGACAAAAACAAAACGGAAAGAAGATGTGTCATTTGTTGGAAATCGAACGACCAATTTAAGCGCTGC